ACCAAAGCAAGGCCCATTAGTTAAAACTGCTTCCTCTCCCTGAAGATGACAATATTTAAGTGCCACAACAGAGTACAGTTAGTCAGTTACAAACACTTTGCGACAATGAAGGTATTCCAGCAACCAAGTGCAAAAAATAATTTGGCTATTTCCATGTTCTGTTTTCTGGAAATGTGAAGAGCGAAATACCTGCAGTATAGAAACTTTTGTACGGATAATAGGCGGTGGTCGTGAAATTATCTTTGCCAAGATTTCTGAACTGCATTGTCTCAAGCTGAATGATGCAGACACCAATATCTGTCCTTACATAAATCACACGATCATCTTCATCATACCCCAACATGAGATTATCCGTTTCTCCCATAGGCCCTAGACCAAGGATAGTGTTCAATTGAAAGGTCTTCTGCAGCACCCATCCGGCAACACCATCACAACCGACCTTCCTCTCCCACATTTCGAATTTTTGGTATTCCAAGACAGCAAGGCCAAAACTGCCATCATCTGTCGACATCTAACATATAAACGCTGTTGTGTTACCCGCCATTCTAGCGCACTTGCGCTCGCAAGGCCTTTTCCACCCCACGATCGATTTACTGTCGCTCGTTTTACCGTGTTGGCGGCTGGTCAACCGTCTGTCTCTTTTACACCCGCAGGCTTTGGCTGAGATTGCATGACCGGTGGGCTCGCTCATTTGTGGGGCCAAGAAGCAGTGGGCGGGTTGCGCACCCACGGCGTCGGCGAGTGGCTGGGTCTGGGGTTGGGCAGATGAAAACCTAACGCACGCACGCACATGGCCTTCCCCCTCCCTCACTTTTACTCCCTCCTGGCCGCCGCCGCCGTCTCCTCCTCTTCCTCCTCTCTCCCGTAGCAGATCCACCTCCCCTTCCTTTTATTCATCCTCCACGCGACCATCGACGATGCGTGGTTCTAGATAGGACGTCTCCATGGAGAGCAGGGATGAAGAAGCAGGAGAGGCCTGCGGTGGGGTGACCCGAACCGAGGAGAACTCGGCGACAGGGAAAAGAAGCAGCAATGACAGCGCTTGTCTCGGTGGGGTGGAGCTGCTCGGAAGATGGAAGGGGACTGTCGACTTGCGGGAGGAGCAGGTGAGGCCGGCCCTTGTTCACCCTAGAGACACTTCCGACGCCGCAAGCCAGGGCAGCTCGACCACAGGTGAGCGGATCTCTTTCCTTTCTCTTTTCCCGTCTCTCTCTCTCTCTCTTTCTTTTTTCCTCACTTTCTACCCTGAAGAAGCCCGCAGGAGCAGTTAACCATGGAGGATTTGGAGGCTGCTCACATTTGTAATAGTAAACCATGGAGGATATGGGGGATGCACGACCTTAGAGCAGCAAACCATGTCAGCCAAGGTAAATAAGCAACACACAGTCATACTGCTCAAAACATGGATGTTTGGGGAATTTTTTCTTAAGATCTATATGATTTTTGTCTGAATAGTTAAAGTATTCCTTTGGACTACTTTGATTCTCTGAAAAAATTGTGAGAAGTAAGATGGTTGGCTTCTCATGTAGAACTCAATTTACAGTTACTATGATTTTTTAATTGCCACTATTTTTCCTTTTCAATTTTATAACAAGATATGTGCTTTTATCAGGTATACACAAAAAAGATTCAGGAAATCTAGATTGGGGGAGCAACAAAAAGCTTCAGATGTGTAAACTAATATATACGTTACACAACTTTTTTGTGTTTGCAGCATAGTCTAGAAATTTACTGTAGAGAAACTAAAATAGTTCAAGATAAAAAGGTTGTTGTACAAAACGAATTGTTTGTCCCCGTTTATCTTGTCATTTTATTACAAATGAAAACATAGTCGGGAAAAATCATGGAACGGTTTCTGTCATGAAGCATGAGAATGATAGTACCTGAAATTGCAAGAGCTGGCTTTCTATCTTTTTTCACAAGTACTATGTTTTTCGTAGCTAATAATGATGGTTGCAGCTTATAATTACTGAACTATCCGGCGTGGTGTGGGCATGTTGTAATTACATCCTTCGATATTTCTATGCAATATTTGGTTCATTTGGTATTCATACATTTATTTATGTCCAGTAGGAAGGAAGATGCATGAAGTTCCTGTTTTCTTGGGTGACCTCAGTTTTCTAATGATATCTTGATAGCACATAGATGGTTGCCAATTAGCTTATATCAGTTTCCTAATAATATCTTCATAGCATACTTTTTTGGGATAATGGTGACCAAAACGCCCCGGTTTCTCTAATTTGTAGGAATGAAAATCTTGAATTGCTTTTGATGGATTTCTCACTCATCAAAATAAAGCCACCAGCCTCCACATAGAGGTTGATTAATCACTTTGGCCAGTCGTTCTGTTTTTCTATGTTGCGGAATAGGAATGTCGTATGATCATTTATTTCCTCTGCGTCATTTTAAGTTCTACACCTTATCTCTTATTATGACAAATCATCAATATCATACGTCTGTTACTCTTCCTGATTCTACATATTGTTTTCAGTCATAGATTTAGAGTGTTTTTTTTCATGTTCTTGCAAATCAGAGGTGTTTAAAAAACTATAACTATTTTACTGCTTTTCGGATGCTATGAAATGCTTATACTAAATTTCACAAATATGTTCATGTCTTTCTATATTTATACAATGTATATTGTGTTGCTCAATGCTCACTACCTCTGGTATTAATCTCTCTTGCATTCCTTTACTAATACTTTTATCTTGTGCTTCTAAATACTACAATCTGATCAAAGCCTTACGCCTCTGCAAAATGGCGAGGTCTTCATGGCACTAAAATCTGGTATTTACCTCCGTTTTCTGCCGTCAACTGTTAATGAAAGTAGTACGATGCCTAATTTTGCCTTCTGTCGATTTTTTTCTTAAGGTAACTCTAAACTTAGGTTGACGCCTTTGTTAACTTTAATTTTGTGTCCTGATGCTATGGCCTAATTTTTTCTACTGTCCTTGAGCACCCCGTAGCTAATATAATGTGAATAGGATTTTAGTTTGCTACTTATACAACAATAGATCCATTTTTGTAGCTGCCAGATAGTATTCTTCCTGTCCCAAAGTGAAAGCATGGTTTCTCATGTTAAAACCCCAAGATATTGTATAGTATCTGATGACCATCATCACAATATTAACAAATGATCAGTAATTGATTTCTTTTTTGAGAAAAAGCCCTACGCTTATAGATTATCAGGGTTCAGGTTACAGTCATTTGAAACGAACTGTCTCAGCAAGTCAGGAACATTAGCGATCAGTAGACTGTCTCCATGAGCTCTTGCACAGTCAACCAGTTTGTGAGCCATAACATTGCGTTCTCGATTCATTGCCGAGGCTGACGCCGATGCAAAGGAATCCATCATATCTTTCACATCCGAAATGAGTGGGAACAAGGCCGACTTGTCCTGTGATTCAGGTTGGAGCAGGTTTGAGACCGCAACGCAGTCTGTCATGCAGATGGCGCCTCTCTATACTTTCTGCAGTTCCAACAACCCCACCTGTATGGTCGTTAACTCTGCCTCATCAACATTCTTGCATGGGAGTACTCGCCTACAAATTGACAGTGCCACAGCCCCGGTGTGACCTCTGACCACAACACCCACGCTGTTATGCCCTGTTTCAGCACTAAAAGAAGCATCTACATTCACTTTCCATACGCCAGCCCCGGGTGGTTTCCACTGGTTGGTTTTAACGTGTTGCACCTCATGCAAAGGATCAGCTATAGCCGACCAGATACTCTTCCCTCTTTCATCATTTTTCTCCCAATGGCTTCCCTTAAAATCCTTCCAGTAATTCTGTAGAAAGGCGACAGTCAAGACATGAGCTATCCAGTGTAGGTTCAGACAATTCATTCATTCATTGCAGGTTCGGCATGTCTCATTATGTCTTTTTGCTTCATATTCAGGGTCAAAATGGGCTATATTTCTTTCATTGAGGCGAGGGTGATTCCAGCAGGTGAGGTGCATTTTAGACATCCGGATGATGTCTTGCTATGTCCAGGTGGTACCATGTCTGAATTAAGATTTCCCTTGCAGATTTTTCTTGGCGCACTCGCCTTTTTCCTTGAAGTTGGGCGTCAGTCGTCTCTGCGGCAAGGTAAGATTATCCCATTTACTTTATTCAACCCAGAGTCAAGATTCATATCCCCTTCACTGTCATTTCATTTGTGAGCATTTATTCCATTGATCTATGTCGTCGGCACCCTGACGATTTAGCCTTTTCTGCTGATCACAATTGCTTGCATCTGCCATCTCATTGAGGAAATGCCCCTGCTCCTCTTAATTAAAATTAATGTGAAATATGTTTCTACCAAAATTAATGTGAAATATGTTTCTACCAAAATTAATGTGAAGCACTATTGAGACAACGAATTTCAACTATGTTATGAGCCAAACCATATTAAGTATGTGCATCCTCGCTGGAATGCTTTCTGTTCATGAGCTGGTCTCCCAACACGTATTGTCAAGAAAAAGAAAAGAAAGGACCTTTTAAGTTCGTAAGAGGAGCAAGAGAGCTTCTAAGTACTAACTGTCACTCCTATCCTATCCTAATTGAAATGCATTAGCCAACTTGCCTCAGTGATGTTCTATTTCACAAAAGCTCGCTCCTTCACATATATGGTGGTTCTTTTCCTGTATTATTAATTAAATCGTTGATGGCCTTGCTTGATGCTTGCCACGTGTTTGATCGTTAACCTCTGATGCCATGTTTTCTCCATGCAGGTGTCTGGTAGAATTACTAGAAGTAGCGGATCTACTTTTATTTGCTGTCCTAGCTTGCCATCAACTTATGCCAACGACACAAGGTACGATGTTTGATTAATAGCTATTCTTAGAGGATGGATCCAAATATTGTTTAATTTGTCGGTTCTATACTTGGTTGCAATTTTTTACTGAATGAATGGCTCACTTTTTATTGGAAAAGGAGGTTAAAACCCCCGGCCTCTGCATCAATCGATGCATACAATCATCACATTGTTACGTCGCCTAACATATATGTACATTTTCTTCAAGCCTTAAAGTGTAGTTAGCACAACATATAGACACTAACTCATTAAATTGTTACTCGTGGGATTAGCTTTCTCATTAAATTATTTAAATTGGTAGCTCAGAAACTAACTCTATAGGTCTATTAAATCTTCTGTAGACCCACATATTTGATATTACCTGAAAAATAAGGAGGTTACCTTTTCCTTTTAATACCTGGAACCAAATTGTTTGATACCAATTATATCTGGGAGCAGTTTCATACAAGATACAACTTAGTAGCAAAAAAAAATTGCCCTCTGTCTTATTTCTCCATACATTGGATTCATATTTGTTCCAAATTTACATCAAGAAGCCTCTAGGCATTTGTACTTTCAGAATCATTCTGAAACTGTGGTTGAGAGCAGAGAGCATTTAATAAGGATGGTTCTATTTCTGAATCTTGCTCTAATCCCTAAAAGGTGAAATTGGGCATGATTTTGATATTTGTTTTACAAGATATTACATCGATTTTCTGGTTTGGGCATACTTATAATTGTTTTCTTCAGACTACATCTTAGCATGCACTTTTGTAGACTATTCTTGATTAGAAGATGTATATGAATGTGAGCAACAGAGTTCTTTACTCCTAGAAATTGCACACGCCAATGAAATTCAGGTATCCCTTGATAAGTCCCTCAACATTTTGCTTTCGTTCATAGAATTAAAATTTGCCATCAAACAAACAAATAGTTGTTTTACTAAGTTTATTCTGTAATTTGCATGACATTTTTGCATAGGCTTGGTTTCTTCTGACAAAAGGTTGTTCCACACAACATTAGAATTGAAGTTTCTCCATAGCTTTGGTTCAGTGGTAGCTTTAGCCTTTTTACATGTGTGAGTAGGTGTTTCTTTCCATTGACATGAGAACAAAATAGGTCACGACATGTTAAATTATTAATAATGGTCCAGATTCGAAAAGAGTCTATGATGTAGAGATTAATATGCTTATAAAATTCCCTCCTTTCTCATTATAAGTTCCCTTTTTATTCTGAGCTGGGTTCTAAGTGTAAAGCTAATTGGTTTGCTGAAAACACTGCATCTATAGTATATATCTACACCAGATAGATTGTTCATTTGTTTCTTAGAAAAGAGTTATTTTAGCTAATCTTTGGTACCGATGGAATATGCAGTGATTACTCCCATAACCTATGATAAAGTAATATAATTACCATTTTCGGTCAACTTTCCAACACATTATGTCCATGCAGTAACTAACATTGTGTATTTTTACACAGATTTGTTCATCGCATGAAGCAAGGAATTGAGACGGCCATCCACTTCATATTGTTAACTGGATGGTGTCGCACTATGCTTTATGAAAGCAACCTAAATAAATTGTTGTAAATAACCCTAAGGATTTTCTTTACCTTGAACTATCTTTAATCCTTTCTTCTTGCTTCACTTGATGCTTTTGGACTTCATGCTGCCATTGACCGGAATGTAAAACGTTATATTTCTGAATGCGCTGTGTATGAGATCTCTGATGCTACTAATTATTGGACTGCTTCGAGTCATCTATTTCCTTGTGCATCAAGGATTCTGGATCGGGCGCAGGTCGTCGCCATAAGAGAGTCTGGCTGGTGTGGTCCTCATGCTTGGTGTGGAGAATCAGGGGAGGATGAGTAGGATGGGCATGGGGAAGCAGCAGCCAGGCTGGAGCTCCGGCGTTGCTCGCGTCATGGTCGAATGGAGCCGGCCATCATTATGGGCTGCTACTCGCCGGTCGTCGTTCCCCCATCCCAGTTGGTCATCTTTGGCTTCACCATCTTCCTCCCCTGATCATGCATCTATTTTAGATCATACAATTATGCTATATCATATATGTTGTTTAGTTCAGGCTTGTGCATGTGCATGCATTGGCATTGATTTAGACAGAGATATTGCATGATTTATACATAAAAGGAGTATGGATGATCTAAGAATAAATATTTGAATGAAGTTAGTAGTGAGATTTAGGTAGAGGTTACTTGCACTGTTCTGTTTTATGTAGATTCTAAGCTGCAAAATCATACATGGTCCTGTTAGTAGTTTGTTTGAGTTGTGAGTTTACGCATTTTCCCTTGAAATATTTGTATGTGTGATCACTTGCTTTTAGGTTCCCAGCGGTATATCATGAGAAGTTTGTTACTTTGCACCGGGTGATCAACTACATATTTAGACGAATACATTATTCAGGACCAGGAACATTAAGATTTCTAATGTTGTTTTCCTCTTTCAAGATTGCAGTTTTCATAAGCCTTAGATAGCTAAGGTACATAGTTTTCATTTAACAATTTTTTTATTGTTCTCTCATCTCCTATATGGTGTCTAAGAAATACTAATGTAGACAATTGAAAATTTTAAAATACCTTCTGGCCAATTATGTGGGGAAGGTGCAGCAAGCCGGCCCTCGCGTTGCAGTAGAGTGGAGCCGGCAATTTTATGATCGGTCTCTAAATATTTCAACTTGCACAGTTTGAATTAGTTTCACATGCTGAAGTATATAGTTTGAACAACATAGGTATTCCTTAATTTTTCATATAAAAGGTTTAGAATTATTACCCTCAGTGCTTGCTAAAACTCGAAGTTACTAACAAATGCAAAGGTTTCTGTTACAAAAGGTTTAGAATTATTACCCTTGATGCTTGAATTTGGACCTTGCACCTTACTTGGGTAACATAGAGCCAAATGGCACATTGTCCAAATACACGTTCAAAACACTTCGGGTTTGACATGGTCTCTATCCTTTTTCAAACATAAAGTTACTAAAAAAGGCAAATATTTCTAAACACGAACATGGTTTCAAATGGGTCTTTGCGCCATTTGGCGCACCGGGTCATCTAGTGATCTTAAAGCTGCTCGAGCAGCTATAATACCTCAACAAATCCGGCAGCTCGATATTAACTAGGCTATGGCTATCTAAATCAAACTTGAGTATGCCATCCTCATTGCCATCAAACACCCAATAAACAGAATCCCCTACAAGGGTGCTCGGACGGCTCAGCTCACACATATACCGAATTGCTGCTGTTCCGGTCTCCGATGAGTAGATAGAAGAAAATCTGGTACGACCGGGTCGCACGAGGCCAAACGGGAGACCACCTCGCGCGCATGACATCTGGCAGCATGAATCTCAGCGCAGCGTCACCTTATCCCGAACCGAAGACCAGGTCGAGCGCGCATCAAATCCCTAGCCCAACTCCTCCGATGCCCCCAATTTCGGCCGCCGGCGTGATCCGCTCCGGCTGCTCGCCACATCGCCGCCGGTGTGCTCCTCGACGCTGGACCCAACTCCCCTGCTCGAAGTCCTCCATTCCCGCGGGCACGGCCGCGTTCGTTGGCGGCCCAGGTCGCGGCACCGTCGTAGCTGCTCGTCGGCCTGCTCCTCGACGCCGGCCTGCTCGTGGCTCTCCATCCCCGCCGGCACCCACCATGTTTTCCGGCGGCCAATCTCGCGGCGCCACGCCATCTACCCTTGTCATGCCGCTGCCCATGGCAATGCTCCTCGGCCACATTCGCGGCGCTGCTGGCTTATTGTACAGGCTTCATACGCCCCTTGGCTCCGGCCAACCGTTTCAACGCTGCTGTGTCACCCTGGTCGCTTCTCGGCAAACATCATCAACTAACAAGTTACTGTAGATTTTTGTGTGTGATTTGAGTTGTAAAAGCCTGAACAAAGGCAACTATTCTGTATTTTCCTTTCTGAATTTTATTCTCTTACAAGACTGGCCTATGTTGTAAACGAATTTCTGTGTGAATGAAAGCTTGTGGAATTTGCAATGTATAGTTGTTCTTGTCCACTCTTCATATAATGTGTTGCGACATTTCAGTGTATTTGTGCTGTTGAACATACTGATCACTTGTTTCCTTCCAATATCCGGTAAGGCACCAAGTATATGCACCCTTGTGTGTGTTGTACAACTGATCAGTTCAGATGAAATAGCACCATTTGCCAGGTGAAATACACACATAGCAGCAGAAGAAAATGATAGCTTCAGATGAAACACTAGCACATAGCAGTAGAAGAAAATGATAGCTTCAGTTTAATAGAATATATGTTTGATAACAGATGTTCAACATTGTCAGGTGACACACACATAGCAGCAAAATAAAAGGATAGCTCCAGTTTTATGCTAAACCAAATACATAAACCATATAGCTGACATGCCCAGCTAACTAGCATTGAGGAACCAACAATACATTATGCATCAACGTACGATCGGGCTCGTCACGGCTGAAACCTTGATGTACTAGCACCACCATTGAAATCCAGTTGACGAGCGGCCGGCGGTGTTGTGCCATCTCCATGAGCCTCAAGCAATAGTCTTGTGAATTCTCCTTGGATAGGTTGACCTAAAAATGATGGATACTCTCCAAATGCCATGGATATTGATGGATTTATAGTACCACCAAAATCATATTCCGAAGGGCCAGTTGCGGACGGAACAAACACGGACGCCTCTGCTGGATAGTTTGTACCTTTTCCTGCAAATTGTATGTAGATATAAGAAATAGAAATGAAACATTGCTACTTATTCACATAGAACAAGCAAAGGCACCTTTTTTTTGCCTTTCTTTGCTCCCTCTAGCACATCTTTTGATCTTTTTTGCTTTGAACCTTTTATTCGTTCAGGAGCTCTAAATGGCATCATTGTTTTTGCAACATATCCAGTCATTTCGGAGGAACTTTCAAAGTCCTCATCTTCACCCAAGTTTAAATTGCTAAGTAATTCTAGTGCTTCCAAAGCCAACTTATCAATACCATTGTTGAGATGTGTAAGAACCTCCTTTGATGTTTTGCACTTCAATGCAAGTGAAATCATCTTTTGAGAAGTATGTGCAAACATGGATTCTAAGCTATCATTGCAATTCAGTTTTGATGTAAAAATTTCTTGTGTTGCATACTTCGTCCATCTGTTCGATATGTACTGACTTGGCAGGATGATGATATTGCAGCATGTGAAAACCTTATGAGCGTGCTTGCACAATATACCTACAACATTTAGAGCAATTTCAGAAGGGTTGCACAATATACATACAACATTTAGAACAAGCAGGTATCATATGGCGTGACTTGTAGTCTTCGTATTTTTCTTTCCGGCGAAGACGAGCAATGCATTTAGAACAAGCAGGTATCCAAGAATTATCCTCAATCTGATACTTAAGCAATAGCTCATGCCATCTATTCTCAAAATGTGCCAGTGATCTATCTTCATACACACACCTTTTGAATTCTTTAAGAAAATTATCATTGTCGCTGATTACTTGACTTAGATGTTTTGCAGCATTTTGATACAAATGCCATAAACAAAGACGATGCCGTGTTCTTGGGAAAACCCTTCCAATAGCATTTATAATGGCGGCACATTGATCGGTGAATATTGTTTCAGGCTGCTTACCAGACATAGCTTGTAGAAAGGTTCTAAAAACCCACTCAAAGGTATCTGCAGATTCATTAGATAGTAGTGCTGCACCAAAAAGAATAGTCTGCTTGTGATGATTAACACCAATAAATGGAGCAAATGGCATTTGAAATTTATTTGTTGAAAATGTGATGTCAAAGGAAAGGGCATCTCCAAAGACAGAATAGTCCATGATAGCTTGTCCATCGGTCCAAAAGATGTTCATTATTGTACCATCATCATCATCTAACTGCATGGCATAGAAAAACGAAGGGTCCTCAGCTTGCTTGTTCTTTAGATACTCCATTAATGTTTGTGCATCTTTGGTTTCCAAATACTTTGAGCGCTCACTTCGCAAATAATTGTTGCAATCCATTTGCAAGAAGGGTATAGCATCTTTACCATACCAAAGCTCGCAAAAATCATATATTTCGGCTTGTTTAATTCCCGATGTCCTCATTTGCTTAATCATGTGGCGATCGGCATCTAAGAGTTGACGCTGCGATCTAAGCATGTGCCTCTTATCTGGACTTACAAGCTGGTGATTGTGGTCGAGCGTAACTTTCTGAGCAGTCCAAATTCCCTCTTGATTGATGCGGAATTGAACTCGAGCCATACAATTAGTCCTCGAAATAGCTTGTTCTTTCTTGGCCACATGTGTTGGATTAGCATTTTTCACACCTGCCTTGCTACAAACAAAATATCTGGAACTTAAAGTCCCATCTGCTCTAAACTTCAAGTGGCACTTCCTAATGCTAAATCCCTTGGTTTGAGCATAAGAATTGTAAAATTGGTACGCCTCTTCTTCAGACTGAAAGCACTTCCCAACTCTTCGAGTATTATCTGCATCTTGTATGTCTTGATTATTCACTGGTGTGTTGCTCATTCTCGGCTGGCCATTAGTCTCAGTTCTTGGCAATTGCTGCAAGGTAATTGAATCAATCAAGAGATGCTTCAGGAAGAGAGGATCGTGCTAGCTGTTGCATGCGTACTGAACTTACCATGGTCGGAGTAGCTGTGGGCAGAGAGGATTCTGGAGCAGAGGCCGCCGGTGTGCTTCTCATCGAGGGCTGGCCATTAGTCTCAGTCGTCGGAAATTGCTGCAAGGTAATTGAATCAATCAAAAGAGGCTTCAGGAAGAGGGGATTGTGCTTGGTGTGGCATGTGTACTGATTATTGAACTTACGCTGATTGGAGTAGCCGTGGGCAGAGAGGTGGTCTCCCGATCCAGTGCCTCGTTGCCCTCGTCGGGTTGCGCCATCTTGGCACGCCGTCGCCGGCGAGATGGAAGAGACGGAGATGAGTTTTTTCGTTTTGGAAGATGAAACAGATTAGAAGCTGAAAGGACGGGGCGTGGGGCGTGGGAAACGGAAGTGGGGTGGGCTGGGCTGGAAGCCAGGCGAACGCTGCGTTGAGATTCGTGCTGCCAGATGTCATGCGCTCCAGGTGGTCTCCCGTTTGGCCTCGTGCGACCCGGTCGTACGAGATTTTTTTCAGTTTATTATCATCGTGGATACCTATCAAGACCACCTGAAATGGGCTGGTGTGGCAATCGCCGTGCACGTGGCCTTCGTCGCCGGCAACGCAAATCACGGCGGCGTTGAAGACGCCAATATCCTTCTCGTCAAAAACTGGTGGAACGACCACATGACGGCGGCCTCCGGTGGCGGGATCAAACAGCATGACCTCGCGCAGCCTATGGTCGAAGAAGACGACGCGTCCATGGCGGCAGTCGAACAAGTCCATGTACATGCTGAGGATGTCTGGAGGGAAGAAGCGCTCGTGCGGGATGTGGTCTGGAGGGTCGAGATCAGACCTGAAGTAGGGGTGCCCGGTGTGGCCCATGACGAGGCCGAGGAGGGGAGGTTTCCGGTGTTGGTCGCGGAAGCCGCGGAGGAATTGGCGGTCGCGGACGACGCCGCGCCATTGCTTGCAGACGACGGAGACGCGGGGAATGGTGGAGGGCTGAGGCGGGAGGAGCAGGAAAATCTTCCGGAGGAGGTCTTCGTCTTCCAGCGCCGCCGGTGGCGAGGTGGGGCGAGCGCGGCGGCGGCTGCGGCTGCGGCGGCGGGCCATGTTGTCGTCGACTGGATGTGGTGTGGGGATGTGGAGTAGTAGACTGTCGACTGTGCGGCACGGTCCGTCGAGGTTTTCAGCCTCTTTTCAGCCAGGGGCGAAGAACCAGGCCCATGAGATGTCTAATTCTAGTGCTCTTTTTTCTTTTCTTCTCCAGTGTTTTACTTTGGTTGAATCTCCATTTGCCTCATTCTGTACTAAGGGTAACGTGCGCTTTGCTGCGCCATTGTTTATATTCGATCACACACTTTGATGCATTCAAAGCTAGTTGCACGCGCACTGCCGATCATGAATTTTTCTCACAGCAGGCACCATGATTGACATCATGGTCTTTCTGAAAAAGAGAGAATAGCATGACATTTTTTATACTAAAATTGCAGCTGACTTCCTAAAGAAAAATGAAATCGGAGGTTTTGTCGCCGGATAAATGACATCAGAGTTATCATCACATATATTCATACAACTGAATGTGCGTGCACAACATCGATGCAGAGGCGTGATTACCAGCCATTCAATCCCCATGTACACAAAAAATATCATTCCAAAAACATTTGTGGCGGATAAGGCCTAAGAAGAAATGTATTGTAGACCTTTTACCATCAAACTATGTTAAAATAGGTATTTCAAACCGAATAGTGGGGAGAACTAGGCTGTAGCCTAGTGGCAAGGGAGCGCAGTGGCGTCTCCAGCAACCAGGGTTCGAGCCACGTCGGGGACGAATTTCTGATTTCTCACAAGGGATGCTTCTCCTATATCAATAAACCATGGGTGCTAGTGCCCATGAGTTTCATCTTTTTTTAAACCGAATAGTGGGAGCATCATTCTGTGACATGTCTACTTCTGGTGCATAGGCAATCTAGGCTCATTTAAATTTCATATGTTTCTTGAAATAAATAATTCTGAAAAAACATAGAGCATCCACCATATTTCATTACCCGTGTCTTCATTCTGTAACCTAAACTCAAACCTAATGTTCCTAACTCAAAGTATGAACCTTCATATCAAAGAAGACTTTGATTCATATCAAAAAGCTATTCGAATCAGCTTTGAAAAATCAGCCAAAATTTGATTCGAGCAATTTCCATTGTATTTGGCTAAAGCACATTCTGATGTACTTCAGTGCCAAAAAGCATAACGAATACATGGCCGTAAAGATGAAGCCCAAACAAACAAGGCCTTATGCACACATAGTGGCCAACCAACAAAACACCGATGGCTCCAAGATGACGACTCCAACGAGGGAAACAATGTCAAAATAATGGTCATCATCCAAGATGACGCCTCCAACGAGGGAAACAATGTCAAAACATGACCGTCGTGCAATCCAGAGAACTAGTCTTACGCTTCTAAGTGGAGCGCATAGGCTGGAGAAGGTGTCCAATGCTACTCGACGATGCCTTCAAGGAGGAAAACAACACCCCTAATGTTCTACCATCATCGGTGCCAACAAAGTCGTCACATGACTTTCATCAGTATCATTAAGGGTGAAATAAGATCAGATTCAGATGGATAATTCTTATACCAGTATCCTATTCCTATTTCATATTTATTTTTGTTTTCAGAAGCGGGAGGGATATGAATTCCAATACCGGATTGTGCAGATTCGAATACCGAATTATGGCAGATTCAAACATGGTACGGTAACGGAACAGACTGGAATCGAATATGGTCATATACCACATGCATATACGAGGAATATACAAATGATTTAAAGTTTTAAATTAAAATTATACAAAAACAATGAGAAAGTATTTATACTTTTACATTTTAAGCACACATAAAGCACTAGAAAAATACTAAAATAAGCCAAATAAATCACTAATAAGCGTATGTTTCGTCACATAAGCATGACATTCACATATTGGTAGTTAATACTTAAAACTTTACACATAAATTGAATAACCATATTTAAAGATGTTAGATTATCCTATTAAAAAACAAACTCAAAATATTAGTAGTGTCATATCCTATACCGTATCCTATTAGTCGGACTTGGGTTCAGACCAGATGTCAAAAATCTCCTACCGTAGCTTACAGAAACGGATTCGATCAAAAATTATCCCAACCACTTTCACACTTTTTTTAGACCGAAGACTCAAGAAGAGCTCGGCATTGAATTAATGATGTGGGGTGGAACCCTAATGGTCGATCTTTTCACACTTGGAGGGGGAAGAGAGAAAATCAAAGAGGAACACAAGAAGAATTCTCAAATACACAAGATCCAACCACACATATGCTAAATCCACATACACAAAGAGGAGATACAAGGATCCAAAGTCAACGTAAGAGGATACATAGGGTAACTAGTTCATCCCAATCCTTAAAGGAGAGAGGTCTTGAATCCTATAAGCATCTCCCCATGAAGGGGTCTTGAATCCAGTTGGGGGATATTCTCAGATGGAGGTCTTGAACTCCTGAGAGTGGTAAGTGGATGAGCAGAGCTCTATCTCAAATGAGCTTTAACCTTTGTTAACCCTAGAAGGAGGAGGGAATAATTTATTTATAGTGCTAGTACAAGTTGGGACGAAATGAAGGGGTGCATAGGCCTTTGGCCCGGTCTCTCTGCACAGGTAGGTGCTAGATGTCCAGCGGCTCACGAAGAGGCGGATGTCCGGGATTTTGGTCGGATGTCCGGGCTGGGCAGGCCCGATTCCTACTGCTCTATGGATACGTTAGGTCGGATATCTGGGCGGGGGACGGATGTCCGGGCCTGATACGTCTCCAACGTATCTATAAGTTATGAAGTATTCATGCTGTTATATTATCATTCTAGGATGTTTTACAATCATTTTATAGCAACTTTCTATTATTTTTTGGGACTAACCTGTTGACATAGTGCCCAGTGCCAGTTGCTGTTTTTTGCTTGTTTTTTTACATTGCAAAAAATCAATACCAAACGTAGTCCAAACACAGCAAAACTTTTTGGAGAATTTTTATGGACGAGAAGACACAACTTGGGCCAAAGAAGTACCAGAGCGCGCCCTGATGGGTTGCGCCCACCTCGGCGGCCTCCCACACCGCCTCTTCACCCTACAAATTGCCAAATATTCCCCAAACCCTCGGGGTAACCCTAGATCAGAAGTTTCGCCGCCGCAAGCCTCTGTAGCCACGAAAAATCAATCTAGACCCCGTTCCGGCACCCTGCAGGAGGGGAAAATCATCACCACTGGCCATCTTCATCATTTCGGCGCCCACCATGATGAGGAGGGAGTAGTCCACCCTCGGGGCTAAGGGTTTGTACTAGTAGCTATGTGTTTAATCTCTCTCTCTCTCTCTCTCTCTCTCTCTCTCTCTCTCTCGTGTTCTTGATGGTACGGTCATGATGTATCGCGGGCTTTGTTAATATAGTTGGATCATATGATGTTTCTCCCTCTCTATCTTGTTGTGATGAATTGAGTTTTCCCTTTGAGACCTCGTTCTTATCGGATTGAATATTTTTTATGGATTTGAGAGCACTTGATATTATCTTGCATATGAATAGCTGTGGTGACAATGGGGTATTATATTGATTCACTTGATATATGTTTTGGCACTCAACTCGCGGATTCCCAGGTGACATTGGGGCAGTCTATGCATAGGGGTTGATACACTCAATTAATGCGCTCGTTTTCCTCAAAAAATTATGTTACTAATGCATTAGTTGCAATGCATGCATGCATGAAGTACATGCATTGGTCATTTTCATTTAATCCTTGCATGCGATGATTTAATGCACCTTAAAATCTGAACATATGATAGAGAACAATCAAACTGAGACTTATAAAATGGGAAACCTAAAATTTTGAGATAAGTCCTATAAACCGGAAAGGAGGGAGTATATGTCAACAACATTATTCTAATACATGTTTAACATTTTTCAAATACAAATTTAACATTTTAATAATACATGGTCAACATTTTTCTATATACATTTAAAAATCTAATGCTTGATTAACATTTTTTAATACATGATCAACATTTTTCCTATACACACTTTCAAACTTGATTAACATTTTTCAAATACAAGATCAATTTTTTTAATACATGATCAACATTTTCTTATGCACATTTAACATTTTTCAAATACTTCATTAACAATTTCTAAATGAAATATTAACACTTTTTTAAAACATGGTCAACATTTTTGCTAAACACATATAACATTTTTCAAAATCTTGCTTAATATTTTTCAAATACTTGTTGAACATTTGTTTTCAAATGCTTCATAAACATTTTTGTATACATGGGAATTTTTTTTCATCGTCTTTACTACATGGTCAACATTTTTTCTATATACATTTAACATTTTTAAAATGCTTTTTCAATATTTTTCAAGTGCTCGATTAACATTTTTATATACATGATCAATTTTGTTTAATCATTTTTTAATGCATGGTCAACATTTTTACTATACAGATTTAATATTTTCCAAATGATTGCTTAACATTTTTCGAACACTTTTTCAAGATTTTTTTTCAAATGTTTGATTAACTTTTTTAAAATACATGATCAAATTATTTATACACTTTATAATTTTTTTGTATAAATTTTCATATACGTGATAAACATTTTCTTTATACATATTTAACATATTTTAAATGTTTGGTCAACATTTTCCAAATATTTTTGGGTACAATTTTTTATGATATATATTTTTATAATATTATAAAATGTAAACTAAATTACGAACATAAATC